CACCTGCAAAGAACATGACAAATCACAGCAACAAAATACATATGTATAAAGAACTTAAAATATTCATGGCTTTGCAGTAAGTTTCCATAAATATATATACCTATACCTAAGCCTATATACATACATACATACACATGAATATACATGAATATACATATCTATATATCTACATATAAAGCCTACATAAGCATCCCTGCTTCTATTTGTGTGTGGTTGTGAGCATGCATAAGTGTATAAGGCTTCTCTAATAGAACATTTAATAGTAACTGTGAAGCAGCAGAGACCCGACCCCCAAGACCAGAGGCAGACGAAAAAGGGGGGACCAGAGCCCAAGACCCCAGGAGGGACCCCGACCGCGGAGCCCCCAGGGCCACCCACACAGGACGAACCACTCACCCACCCCCCAGAACGGACCACAGGGGAGAACCGGAAGATCCCCACCAGCGACCACATACAGTGACCCCCCGGGGCCAACAGCGACAAACTCATAGGCCTCCGTCGGAACCCGCTGCACCGATGTAGGTCCAGGTCCGGGCACCGAGGCCCGGGCACCAAGGACTCACACCAACCAGGCCAAGGCCCGACAGGGCCAGAGGACCCAAGCCCCACCAGGCAGACACCAGGCCGAGCCGACACACGCCCAAGTGCCCAGCCCCCGACACCAAGGGCCCCAAGCGCACCGGCAGGCAAGGGCACACCCCACCAGGGGGCCGCGCAATAGGGGCGCGATGCCAAGCACCCCCAGTTGTATCAAAGAGGGGGCAGTCCGAGACTCGGCCTAACAAATACCCATTCATACACAGACACAATCACACAATCCCAACCTCAGTCTCACATTCACTCACTCAAAGACATACAATAACGATACATTTCATTCTTATTCCCGATACGCACTCTATACCCCCCAGGTCCAAGACATGTACCCGCCCTCTACAGGGGGCAACCCATGCCCAAACCCAGGAGGTAAACCCATTCATTCTCGAGCGGAGAAGAGCCAATACCCCAGACCCGGCCCAGGCCATGCCCAGCCGACAGGACACCCCCCCCCACCATGAAGAGGACACGCCACCGACCACCCCTACACACCGCCAACAACCAAGCACGTGCCCACAGCCGACCGCCCGCCAGGCCCCGGCAGCCACCCCGGCCAGCGGGCCAACCATGGCACCCAAGAGCCAAGCTCAGGGGGTCCAAACAACCCCAGGGAGAGCACAGTGCCAGCACCGCCCACGGCAACCCCCAAGATCCCGAACCCCCACATAGTCCTAGTCAACACCCGACGGCCTGCCCTTCTCCCGGACCCCACCCCCGGAATGGCAGTCAGGGAACTAGGGGGGTAGGAAGAAAAAATAAGACCCCGACACATACACCCCCGCCCCTAGATGTGCTGTTGATGTGTGTTGTTGTATAGTGCCATTAAAAAGGAAAGAAGAAGGAGCAAAGGCTGGCATGATGCCAGTTTCCCCTCCACCCCAACTCTATCCAACCCCTAGTGTCTAAATGCAACCATTGTAAGTGAGCACAGGCACAGGGGGTGAGAGTAAGGTCATTCCACCACCCATAGCCATGTGCCCACCTCAAGTTCCTATATGTAAATGTCATGAGGATGTTATGAATGAATGTCTAAGGTGTACAATAAAATTGAGTCCCAGGTGGCTATGGTCAACGAAGGATGTAAAATTGTTGCAGCACACCCGAGCCCAAACAACCCTAAATGTATGGAATTGAAATGAAGAGGGTGGAGGTGCATGGTGAGGGATGGGGAGAAATAACTGTGAGAGCAAATGCTCCCACAGGGAGTCAGCTCCCCCACTGACCCAACAGCCCCCCCCCCCCCCCCCAGCTCCCCAAGGTCCACCCAGGGATTGAGGCCAAGACACCTCTCCATCTGGACCGACCGCCAGGCCCGCTGAGCTCCAGACCAGAGAGGGACAGAGCCCCGAGGGCCGCCAGAAGCAGTACCAGCAGCCTACACACCCGAGGGCCACCAGGACCCCCACAAACTGCAGTCAGCCCGCTACCAGATGAAGCCAAACCCCACCAGGACGACCCGGCCAAGAGCGCCCGCCCAACCGCCGACAGTGCCAAGAAGCACCGGGAGCGAGCCCCCACCACAGGAAAGGGGCCAGCCAGCCGGCCATGCACAGTCCCGGGCCGCCCCCAAGGACATCCACCCCATCCCCACCCCAGAAGAAATACTACACCCACCCCTCATTCGGACATCTCTCAAAACCCATAGCACACTAGACACCTAGGCTGGGTCAAACTACCCCCTCTTAGGGGCCACTGGTCACGCCCCCAAACACCCAACTCCCCAGCCCATGAACCTACAACCCACCAGCGAGCCGAAGGCCCCCGCCCAGAACCGGGCACCAGAGCACAAGCCGGCCCAGAGCCCGGCAACCTGCCCGCCAGAGCCCAAGATCCCCGATCCCCACAGGCCCAAGCCTGGGGGCGACAAGCCACCAGAACCCCAAGCCCCCGCGCCCACCCCGAACCCATACCAGCACAGCCAGGCTACCAGATCGGTGACCCACGACCGCCGCCACAGACCACCTGAGGGCCTGCATGCAACCACCAGCAGACATCCCCCAGAACCACCCAGGCCCTCCCCAGAGGGAAAGCAGTGCCCCCCTGCCCAGGTACCCCCAAGAGCCCAGCCCCTGGCAACCCTCCCGGGGCCCCAAACCCATACACCCGCCTCCACATCAACCCCAAGGCCCCACAAGGTCAGATCCCAGACTACCCACCCTCACTATGTAACGGAGCCGATCAAAGGAGCCCACAGAGATTGATCCAATGTGTCGGCAGATGCTGTTTCAAGACTAATATGATCTAACAGAAGATTTTTATACTGAATAATGCTCCCTTTCTCGATGGTAGACATGATGAAGCGCATCATCAGAGATTGCCAGCAGGGCACACAGCAACATCCACATGAGATCACGATACCTAGAAAAGTTGCCATGGAAACTAACAAAGAAACAATTAAAGTTTTCCACTTCCCAAACACATTATTAAACCAATCATCTTAAAAGTTATTGATCCCAGAGTGTTCATGCGTAGTTTTACTCAGAGCTCTCAACCCTTCCAATGCTCTGGTCACAGATCCATCCGGTACTGTATTGTTGGGAATAAATGTACAACACATGTCCCTGAACATAGAACATACGCCCCCCTTTTCGGCCAGTAACATATCCAAGGCCATCCGGTTCTGTATGGCCATCAGAGATGTAGGCGCCAATTGCTCTGACAAGCCTTCCACAGCATCTTGTGTTAAATTAGATAATAAATTAGATAAACGCAAAACATTATAATGTATATAATTAATTCTGTCTACATTTTTATTAGGTGTCACTGGAAAGAGGGCCGATATTATAGGCAAATTCTCGAATCCTGCAGCGATTTGGTCAGCCAATTTAAATTAATCTGGAACACCCCTAGGGACTCCTATGGCATCTATGTATGTTGGGGAATTTACCGAGTAGTCAAAGGTGGACACACTTCTTTTGCGCAAAACATGACGCCTACGACGCCTAGTTAAGGTAGTGGAGAGATGTTGTTTTGATTTCACGTGTTTTATTGTGTTACCCACCATCATAAGTGGCGCTTGTAATCTAACCATGGCACATAGTCCTGTAGCCTTGTGTGGGATCCTTAACAATAACCTTCTATCTCCACAGTAATAAAAGAGTCCCCCTCTGGCCCATCTACCAATTCTATGTCCAGGAAGGGTCAAATTACACTAGGACTCGGGTAGGGATCCTAGGTTTATGGCTGCATCTGCAGTAGTAAAGTTAAAACAGACATAATCTGCTTTCAGAGGGGTGGCGGTGACAATTCTAGTCTTATTATCTATCGGGGGATAGACGCTGGCCAAAGTGGTACAATTCAAAGGGCTTGCCATTTTGGTCAGATTCAGCATACAGTTGAAACCCCAAGTGTCTGATAGATATAGAGGAACTGGTTCAGTATACAGAGTAGGCCTTCCTGCTGCACAGGCAACACAATAAGACATGTCCAGCTCTGTGGAAGTTGCAGCCATCCAGTCCAACCACAGGTTGGACTCCGGATATGCCGTTTCCACGGCTATAACATCCCTTACTGTGGATATGTCTAAATAGTGGACCCCCTCATTTACAGACAGTATAGCGGGAGCGAGGACAACATTAGAATCAGCAGTTGACTTTGAGATTTGTGATTCCTGAGGTTTTCTAATGGTGATTTTAAAAAGTCCTTTGGGGTCTTTTCCAGACATTTCTACACCCATTATTAAATAGTAGTCTGTGGAAATTTTATCTGCCCTGGGGTGAGCTGTTCATATCTAAGGTGTTTCAGCGTTAGGATGAGGGGGTTAGAAGTTTTTGGTCCTGCCCCCACCGGTGTACCTCTAATAAGGGTGACGTTCCTCTGCATTCTGCCCAGAGGGGTGTTTGAGGCATATTTGTGAGTATATGCTCCCGGGCCTGTATTCCATAACACCTGATCCCAGCCTCCACACCACGGGTTTTGAGTCAATTCTCCAGGGTGTCCTTGAAGCACGCACAAATAGACATTATATCCCCGCCATGTTGGCCCATCTCAACTCAACCACGCTACATAGGTCTATTAAGGCCACTGTGGTTTCTTCATTGTTTGCATACACTGTTAGCTTAGCCCCATATTTATCAGTTTGTTGTGTAGCAACTGCAACTGTCCCCTTGTCACCACTCACCATGAACAGGAACAGACCTATGACCAGAGCACTGCACCCACCCCACATTCCTGGAAAGGAAAACATTTCAATGATTATATTTCAACACAGCCAAGCATTTATCTAGTTATAGAAAAGAGGCAGGGTTTTTTTTGTGTGTTTTTTTTTTGTCTGTCTCTTCTTCAGTTGTAGAGAACGGTCTTCTTATCTTCTCTGTTTGAGAGGCAGTCTTATGAGGCGGGAGTTTGTTTCAAGGGGATAGTTTCCAACCCTTGTTTTAACACCCAGGGGATTGTTACACCCCCTTTCACTCCGTCACATATGGGGTGGGTGTCAGATCTCTGCCAGGTTCTTCAGCTGGGGCACACTGTGACCAATGATACCAAGTTTTCCCTTTTCCTTTCAGACGCACGGTGTGGGATGTCCTTTCCACGACCTGATGAGGGCCAGTGAACCTGGGTTCCGACCACTTTCTCTTTATGACCTTTAGCCAGACCCACGTGGCTTCTGGGGCAGTTGATGAGGAGATCTCGCTCTGAGCTCCTCCTTGGATCCTGCTCAGCTCCTCTCTGACAGTCTGCAATTGACAGAAGTAATCTTTGTGTGTAAGGTGTTGCAGATCACCTGTGAGGTCTGGTGGTCTACGTTGGGGCCCTGGGAAACACTGTCCAGTGGTCAGTTCAAATGGGGTGTATCCTGTGGTGGAGTTTACTGAACACCTGATTGACATCAGAGCAAGAGGCAGTGCATCAACCCAAGACAATTTATTCTGTGCACAGATTTTAGCCAATTTGTTTTTCAAGTTTTGATTCATTCTTTCTACCTTCCCCTGGGACTGGGGATGGTAGACAGTGCCAAACCTGTGTTTGAGGCCTAGACTGGCCTCGACCCTCTGAAGGTCCTGGTTCTTAAAGTGAGTCCCATTGTCTGTTCAAATTTTCTCAGGGAACCTGTGCCTGGGGATGTAATGGTTAATCAAACACTTCACTACTATTTTACTGTCTTCTCTGGCCAGCCTGTAAAAGCATCAACACACACTAGTAAATATTTTTTCCCTTTCACTGATGTCACCATGTCTGTGTAGTCCAGTACAATTTCTTTCCCTGGACAAGTGATTAAAGGAAACTTTCCCTGAGGTGGTGTCAAAGTCTTTTTTTGGGTTAAACTGTCCACATATTGTGCATGTTTTTACAAAATATTTCACCATGTCTGTCATGAATGGATGCCACCATTCTTTCAGGTTTTCTGTCATCTGCCTGGCGCCCACATGTCCTGTCCCATGTGCTTCCTGGAACAGTTCCTGTTTTATACCAGGAGGAAACATAATTCTGCCATCTGGACCTCTCCAGCATCCATCTTTTTCTGCACCTCCTCTGAGCCTCCAAATGTTCTTTTCCTCGGGTGCTGCCCCCTTTTGAAGTCAATGATTTTGTCTAGAGTCATCTTTTCTCTTAACTCGTCTTCTGCTGTAATAGTCATCATTAAAGGTGCACAGCCAACAGATGCTTTAGCAGCTTGATCTGCCAGCTGATTACCTTGTGCTGTGAACGAGTTGCTATTGTCATGTCCTTTACATTTAATCACTGCCACCCGTGTGGGTAGCAGGAGGGCTTCTGCCAACTCTTTCATTTCTGTCTCATGTTTAATGGTTTTTCCTCCTGCTGTTAAAAACCCTGCTCTCAGCCACTGGCACAATTCCACATGCAGGGCCCCTGCAGCATACGCTGAATCTGTATATACATTCATTTCCTGTCCTTCTCCTTCGTCAGTGCCTCAATTACAGCTATGACTTCTGCTCTTTGTGCTGATTGAGCTCCCTTTAGCTGTTCTGCTTTGACCACTGAATATCCTGTTTCTATCATTTCCACCACTGCATAACCTGCTTTTAGTCCCTCTGTCTGTCCTGTAACAACAACCATCTGTAAACAGTTGTCTCACCTGTGGTCCCTCGAGGGGACTTGTTTCCAAGTCTGGCCTCACCTTCTCCAGTGTGGACGCCAGCTCCTCACACTGGTGTGGCTCCCCTTCTGTGATGCCGTCTGCCATGTTTATTCCTTCATGTGTGAATGTGATATTCGGAGCTTCCAATATTTTTGAAAGTCTGTGTTGTCTGAGAGTAGTCATGGTAAAACATTGGGAATTCACATATGCCACCACACTATGTGTTGTTAGCACCTAGAGTGCATGTCCCATGACTACATGTGCTGTTTTTTTAATTAGTTTAGCAATGCTAGCAGCATGTTGTGTGCACAGTGGATGTCTTATTTCCATGTTGTCCATCATTATAGAAAGGTACAGTAGTACTTTTCTGTCTCCCCCTTTTTTCTGGAACAAAACTCCATTTACTGCCAGTTTTGTTACAGAAACATCCAGAAAAAAAGGGTAACTGTGGTCAGGGAGAGTCAATTCAGCAGCAGATGCCATAACCTGTTTAAGTTTAATAAAAACTTTTTCAGCTTCTTGTGTCCATATGAGAAGATTGTTTAAGTTTCTCATACCTTGTTCTTTGGCCAAGTTCCTCAGGGGTTGTGTCAGGTCAGTGTAGGCCGGGATGTATCCTCGACTGTAGCCAGTATGGCCCAGGAAGGAGAGCATGTCTTTCACCCTTAATGGTTTTGGGTGTGCTAGGATGCTCTGCTTGTGTGCTGAGGACATGCTGGTTGTTCCTGAGGAGATTACACGGCCCAGGAAGGAAACTTGTTTCCTAGCAATTTGTAACTTACAAAAACCCATGGCTGTGAAGATGGTTTAACACCAAGCGTGTACCTTCCACACAAAGCTCTGAAGTTGGGGCAGCTAGCAGCATGTCATCCACATACTGTATAAGTGTGGTGTTTCTGGGAAGAGGATAAGTCTGCAACACATCTTTAAGAACCTGATTAAAAATACCTGGCGACAGGGCAAACCCTCATGGCAGGCGGGTGTATCTCCATTGCTGACCTTCATAAGTAAAGGAAAACAAGTCTCAACAGCTTTCTGCAAGGGGCAGACAGAAGTACGCATTAGCAAGGTCAATACAGGTGTACCATTGGTGTGATGGATCCAATGTGGAAATGGCTACATATGGGTTTGGAACAGGGACAGTGGGGGTCTTTAATATAGCATTAATGGCTCTGAGATCATGGGCCATGCGATATTTCCCTGTCCCTTTCTTCTCGACCAGTAAGATAGGTGTATTCCATGATGAGGCAGAAGGTTCTAATACACCTGCCTCTATTAAACCTTCAATTGTGTCTGCTATCCCTTCCTCAGCTTTAGGCTTGTGAGGATATTGAGAAATCCAGATGGGAGTGTCAGTGATTACTTGGAAGGAAATAGGCGTACCTCAAGTACAGCCAACATCAGTGGGGGCAGTGGCCCACAAAGTATCAGGGAGGAAGTTCAACATATTTGCAGCTGTGTGATGATCAGTCCTCTCTCTGCCATGGTGTCTGGTCAGTAACTCATGTTCTAATACAACCTGTTCAGTGGTTTCAATATTTATCTTATATGTGTCAAGAGTCTTTGAATAGTACAGACCTGGTGCTGCAGTCTGGACCCAATCGGCGGCCCCCAGGGAGCATTTAACCATGCCTCCCAGCTCTTTATCTTGATGCTCAGGATGGAGAGAGAGAGAAATGTGAGGAACAGCTTCACCTGACACCTTATACCATCCTGTCTGTTCATGCGTTAAACTTACTGCTGCTGCGACACCTTCGGGAGCCACATAAATGTTAACAATTTGAACTGGCCAGGTCTTACCTTCTAATTTGGTAGAGAAGTCTTCTTGATACCAGTCTGTGTGGTCCCGGTCATAGAAGAGAGTGACGTGTGGCAAATCAGGAGGGGAGACATAGGGTCTCAGACTCAGGATCCAGGGATTCCATGACTGAAAGATTTTGAGGAGGCTGGAGGAGTCTGTAGTGAGAAGTCCCCAGTAGATATCAGCATATTCTGCAGTCAGAGGTTGTAACAGGTATTGTCCTTCAGAAAACAGTTCACCACATTGTAATGAGGAACCATCAGGGAATGCGACCTTCACCCCATCCGGGCTGCAGAACATGCTTGCTCCCATCTTTATTAATAAGTCTCGACCCATCAGGTTAACCGGGGTTGATGGAGAGCACACAAATGCATGTTTCAGTTTTTGCCGTCCCACCTGGAATGGTAGTGGCACAGTTAAAGGCAGACGCTGCTCAATCCCTGAGAACCCCATTAATGACACAGTCTTTTCAGACAAACTGTGGGCTGGTGCTTCTGTTATGGTTGAATATGTGGCACCTGTGTCCACCAGAAAGTTGGTGCAGTTTTCTCCCACCTTGGCTGGCAGCATGGGGTCTGCTGTACACATGCTGCATGGGAGGTCCTCAGGGGCGTGTCAGTAGATGCCAGCGGGTGGGTAGTCCTCCCACTGGAGGTACTGACCACCAGTTGTCAGAGCTGGCACTGCACCAGGATTGTGTGGCATCATACCTGGTTGTCCAGCCAGAGGAGGTCCTTGATGTGCGGGAGGGCCTCTGCAGTCTCTGGCCCAATGTCCAGTTCCTCCACAGTTGAAGCAGATGTCTGATTGATTGCCTGATCTGCCATATCCGCCCCTTCCCCTTTGGCCTCGACCCATGCCTCTCCCTCTCTGACCAGCAGAACGCCATCCACCGCCACGACCAAAACCAGCAGACCTGTAAGTGTTTGGATAGGTGGGAGGGTAGGGAAAATAGGGAGGATAAGGAGGAGGAGGAGGAAGACTCCACCCCCCCAGATATAGGTTAATAGGCGTCACAGGAGGCCCTGCTGCCAGCTGTGGATCAACTGGTGGAACAGCAGCTGCAAGCATAACATGTTCAGATTTTTCTTTTTTTATATATATTTTTTGTCTTGCTTCCTGTAATTGTAATTTAAGTAGCTGGTTTTCTAAGTCTGTTGTTTCTGCAGCCTTCTTCTTTGTTCCTTCCTATGCTTTCTGTAAGTGGTGTATCAGGTGTCTTTCCAATTTGGCATAATCACACCCTGGCGGATCAGGGTTATGCCTCATCACCTCAACTACCGACAGTGGGAACCCCCTGTAATACTGCTTCTCTAAACAGTTCTGTGAGATTGGAGGATGCCTCCTTGGGGTTTACAGTAGTGTGCCTCAAACATTTTTCTGCTGCTTGTGTGATGTAATCTTTAGGGTGGATCTGTGGATCCCATTCAAATTTAGGTATAACTGCTGGTGTAGACAAGGGAAACTGTTTGCGTATCGCCCTTCCAAGAGGTGTTATGACCCGTACCAGTTCAACATCATTCTTTAATTTACTTGTTCTAACAGTAAGTTCAAGCTCCCATGCTACAGAGGGCATGACACATTGCCCCAGGATGGCCCTGAAGTCCCCTAGAGCCAACGTCATACCACTAGTCAAACTGCTCAATTCAGAGAGCCAAAGTCTGCCTCCTGCAGAAATACTGGGTAGTTTATCAACCAAAGCGTCTCTATCTCCCAAGGGGAATGGAACATATTTCTGTCACCCTCCAGAGGTTTGTAAGAGGGGCAACATCAATCCTCTCTCTCTCTCTGTTGTTGTGCCCGGTTTCGGGTGAGGATGTGATAATCCCCGTTCTCCTAAAGGTCTCTGTGAGAGCCATACTGCTCCCTTTGCCCTCTTTGATGCTCAGCTTCCAACCTGAAAAGCTCATTTTCAATTTGTTCATCTTCAATTTCCCTGTAATTATCTTGCTCTTCATCCACAGGTACCCAGTGCCCTCTAGCAGTCATGTATACCCGGACCATACGTTGTGCCGCAGGGGGAGGTATTATTTCCCCGCCTTCTACTTCGGTTTTAGCTGCAGTTTTCATTTGTTCTTTAATTTTATCTATTTCTTTCATGGTTAATTGTATTTTTTTTGCAACTCTCTCTGATCCATTTCTGAAGTAGCATGTTCTGCAATCAGCGTTAGGTGGTATGGTATAAATGGTATGGTATAAAGTTTATTCATTTTAAAAAAGTACAAAACAATTCCATAACAATATAAAAAAAAGATACAAGAGATTTAAAATGAAAGGCAGCAGAAAGAAGAAAAAATCTTATTATATCTGCCCCTTTTTTCAAGAAATTAGTTCAATCATAATAATTTTCAAGTAACAGAACAAAATGAATAACTCTTTCTAATTTTTCTAATTCTAATACAACACACACACTAAGCTACTTCATATATACTTTTTTAACAATTCAGCTTTGATTTTTTTCTTAAATGTACACATTGACTTGGCATTTTTCACATCACTCTCTAGACCATTCCACAATCCAATTCCTTGGATTGAGGTAGACCTTCCCTTCAGACTAGTTCTGAATTGTGGTTTGACAAATATCTCTATCCCCTTAAGATTATAACAACTTTGTCTTTTAACAAAATTTATTTGGATATTTAATGGTAATGTTATTTTGAGCCCTATACATAACTGATAAAATACTATAATCTACCAAATCATGGAACTTCAATAACTTCAGTTGATAAAATAATGTGCTTGATGGGTGACTGTAATGCTTTCTGGTGATAATTCTTATAACACCTCCAGTGAGGTGTGCTTCCTTTGAAGGCGTGGCAGGCTTCTTTATCGGGTGGCTGAGTGAAGCTGTGCTGTTTAAATGGATTTGTGTCAGTAAGAATCAATGGGTATGTTTACATGGACATAAGTAACCGGATCAAATGGCCGGTCGGAATAAAAGTGTGTCATGTAAACACTCCGTTCGGGTTATTTTTTGTGTATTCGGCGCGATCCGTTATAATTTGTGATCAGAACAAAACGGGTGGTTTACGCCGATCTGAAACCCGATCGGTGCGCATATAAACGCTTGATCTGTTTGTTTTTATCTGATGGTGAAAAACTGACCTGACTGCATGTGCAACTTTGCCATTTCCGCCTGGCTAACGCTAATAATATTAGCATGTCAGGGAAGTAAAACTGGTCGGTGAGCGACACAACATTTCTACTAGAAACTTTTAAAGAGCTCAAAATGATTTCTATTACCTGTAGCTCAGTCAGGGAGTGCAATAACGTCTCCACCATCATTAAAACCTGTCGCGGGTCCATTTTGGGTGCTCAAGTTTGTTTACGTTCACCAGGAAGTAGAACTTCTTCTTCGGTGTTTTTTTTAAGGAGAGTTTACCACTCTGCGCATGTCAGTACTGCTGTTCAGAACAAAGCCCGCTGCATGTAAACGTTCATCATGAACAGATTGTGCCCATGTAAACAATACATTTGAATTATTCAAACAGAACACATTTCAATCCGGTCAAAGAATTCTGCACATGTAAACATAGCTAATGAGCCTTGTGAAAGCTCCAGTATTGGGTACAGCCCCTGAGGAGGAGGTATCAGGGCTGTGGGGGAAGGGATTACCTGCCCTGGATATGAGGGCGGAGTTCCCTTCATTTGTTGTGTGGAGGAGCTGGTGCTCACTTCCAGAGTGTCTGCCTTAAGCGTGTGTCTAATCCCCTGCCATGACACTATCTGTTTTCCCCACCTTTTCACTGCTTTTTCTGCCTTCTCTCTCATTCCTGTGTTTTCTTCTAGTCAAACCCCTGCTTCTTGTTCTTTCTCCATATGTTCTGTCACACGCTGTTTGTGTTTTTTAACCTGTTTTAACAAAAAAACACCCAAGGGTTTACATGTAGTCAGTGGAACCTCCTGCTCTAAAACTGCTTGGAGCAAATGCTCCCTCAGTCGGTTGGTCTGCTTTTTATTTAAGTCGTCATGGTCCTCGTCGTATTTTACCAGACCGTCTATCTGTGCTTTTAATGTCATCCATCGTCCGGAACCCCAGCCACTGTTATCTATCGATCAAATTCACCTTCCATGGTCTATTGCTCGTCACTATATATGTACTATAGTATTTTTGTTTTCAAAGGTCTTAGTCAAATAGCGTTGTTGAAAAAAGTCAGAGACATTTAGTCGTGTTTACAAATGAGCAGAGTATACTTTACTTTATAGTATTTCACTTCAAAGTTTCTTCAACTCAGTTGCAGCCAGACGCAGCCTTTCATTCCTCTCATCACACACAGACACACACACAAATCGCCAGCGCATGCAACCATTCCTCAGATCTCCACTGAGAGAACGTTTGCATTAAATTCAATCAAATTTTAGCAATACAACAACCGGTCACAACAATGCAAAATCTTAATTTCCAATGCTCGCCATCACCATCTAAGTATCTTTGGCAGCTCTTTCAGCCTGTGTCAACATAGATCTTAGTATCTTCACAGCTCTTTTTTAATGAGGTCCCAGACCTTCACTTTTTATAACTTTAATAAATGTGCCCGAGTCTTGCTATATTTGGGGCAGCCAATCCTCCCCAGGAACGCTCAGTTTAACCTAGCTGGCTCTTCCTGCGTCCAGAAAGAGGGGGGTTGCCAAACCTGGCTGATTGAGGTCCCAGACCTCGTCGAGTCACACTGAGGTCCCAGACCTCTGACACGGTCCCCGACCTGTCACTTCAAACTATTAAAACCATATTACTCATGGTCTACTGGCTGAAAAATATTTTGAGAAGTAAAGAAGTCCAGCACAATAAACTAAATAATGGAGAAAATTCTCCTTACCTCAAGCCGGCTTGTGTGATTGGGCTGTTCATCCTTCTCCGTGATCAATTCTTTTTACCAACCATCCTTCTCCACATCCGGGTCATGGCACCAATTGTTAAGAACCACAATTTA